TCCAAATGAAGCAAGTGAATCACTGTCAAAGTGCTGTAAAGATGGGAAAGATAGACGGGAAGGGAAGTGGAGGTATCAGAATTATTATTAGTGTCGCTGGCGAAATGTGACTCCCCTTTGCCTGTTCGTTCGTCTTCTTCCGGACAGTGTACGCAGAGTATACGTATACCTGTTTGTTAATTACTGTCTTCACAGCTAGTAGTATGCCTAACTAGAATTACTAGGTTTACAAGTATACGGGTTAGATCAAGCCGCATCATCAATCGAAGGTGAACAAGTAAATCTTTAGTATCTATATCTATATCGATACTGGTTAGTCCGAACGGTTTTTAAACTCCTGGTGGTGTATATAACTGCTGTGGTTCTAACCAGGAGAACTAAAGTGATGAGCCGGGGTAAGAATAGAGTAGTTGAAACATAAAAACTCTCTCGTAGTATATCGGTTGGTAGTCTGGTCCGAACGAGGGAAGGGCCGCAGGATACCCTCGAGAGGTTTGACAAAATAAGGCTATCCTGCGACCTGCGACCCCTGCCCTTCGTGCGGAAGAGACTTCCCTTGAGTTCCCTTGAGTGAACGATTTTTCTCGACTCCCGTGAATTCTGGCTTGCGAGATTACTAGTAATCGGTTAGTACACGCGCCTGTCGTCAGCTCCTTTGTAGGACCATGCGCGAAAGCTGGGAACAGTAGTACAGACTTCAAACCTCTCTCAACATCTGCTGACTATATATAACAATTCCCTGGTAGTATATCGGTTTAGTACACGCGCCTGTCATGATCATACGCAATTGTCGTTGTCCGACGCGCGAAAGCTGGGTTCGACTCCCAGCCAGGGAGTACATCAACTATCTTGATAGTTTTTGTGTTTTGTCTTGAAGACAATAAACAAGTGTGAAGAGGAACAGAAAGCGGTTTGTTACAGTGAGAATGCAATTCAAGTTTTTTTCTGAACTTCTGTTGCACCAGTGATTTCACCAACATTGACATCCCTAGGCCACCTTAACAGCCTTAATATTTAACCTACATATCGATATTTCGAGTGTGTCCCTCAGAGCTAGTTACGTATACTAAGTATGTGTATATTCAGGTTTGGACGGATGTGCGACGGCTCAAGTCAACGATCAGCGGGTACAGCTCCGCTAATAAAGTTTTCAGGTCAAGGTAGATGTGTCCATACTATGTATATCGTTTGACAATGCAAGTGACCTCGGTTTACTTGTAAGTCCGTGTATGAAGAATGAATCGCTATCAAATACTATAATAGGTACCGCTACATGAATGGGGAGGCATCAAGATTAATTTGACCAGCGTTGTTAGTGTGGTGTGTGACTCTCCCTCGACAAAATCAAGTCCTTGACTCTGAGCGATAGTTATGCATCTTGAGTGATTCAGGCCTTCCAAGTCTTTTCAGAATATAAGGAATCTATGGTAGAGTCACGAATGGTTTCTGACGGTTTCTGGCGGTGATCTAACACCAGTGTTTTTGACGAGACGGATAATAAAGTCCGCACCAGGCTCGAGCCCGGCCCCTTTAAGTCTTAATAGTTGATTCGCACAGTAGAGTCTGAAAGCATATCCCCCTTCCTCTTGTATTCTCAGGGCCAGCGTTCCGGAAGAGTGGAAATACCTGGAGCGACTCGTCGTCCGCGCTGCCAGTGGCAAAGGCAATCGGCCCGGCCCTTTAACCTACACTGAACGAAGTGCTATGGGACCTGAATATTGCATTACCTCCTGTTCCATTATCGGATCAACAGTATTCATTGGCCGCACGACTAAGGATTGAGGTTGAGCGAAGTTGCGAACTGCCTGAGGTCTACGAGCTTGGTGCCTAAAGCTGTCAGTTATTCTCCTTCGACTGTTGGCCTATAATTCCGCTCAGCACTCGATATGAGGCTCATTCCTCCGATGAACGCAATTTATCCGACAACGTAGGGTTTAGGTCTGAACTTCAACGGTGTTTACTATTGCCGAGCGTAGTATAAAATGCCCAAGAATTGGTTGGCATTGAGAATAATATCGACGAAACTACATAATTAGCTCTCATTAAACACTCAGCCTAGCAGTCGCACCAAGCTATCCAATATGCGATTCTGCTCTTCATTAACATTGGCAGGACTTGCGTCACTCGCCACTACTTCCGTCTTGGCTCAGGCCCCATTTTTCGGCGCTCCTCAGAACTTGGCTCAAGTTACTGTTGGAGAGGAAGTAGTGGTGTCCGTTTTCCAAGGTGTAAGTTCTCTTTACCGACGTAGTCTTCTTGGGTTTCCACAACTGACCAATGTTTACAGGACACCAACAGCCAGTTCGAGAACGTGGCCATCGCACTCGGTATCTCCCAATGTTTCAACGGCGCCGATTCTTGTTCTGGAGCGGGGGGAGGACTATTCGATGTCTTTTACACCGGCCCTTTTAACGCGACAGGTCTTGTCGGCGCCAATCATTTCCAAAATTTCACAGTCACTATTCCCTCGTTTTTTGAAGCAGGCCAATTTGCTCAGGTAACCGCTGCATTGTTCGCTCTGGTTGGAGTGAGTCCAAACTAGAATCAAATGTTGGTTTAGGAAACTTAACAATTTGGTCTTCTAGGCAGAGGAAAATCCCAGTCTCGAAACGACCGCAGTCATCCTCGAAGTTGTTTAAATATTTTTTCTTCTTGAGTTTTGGAGTCGAGAAACTCTCTGGTATGCGCACCATAGCTTGTGCTAATTGCGCTGTGATACTGTAGAATTCGTTCGCTCTCTAATGTATCTTGGATGATACAGATTATGCGTATGCAACAAATGAAGCGTTTACCACTGGCAGGGCACTCGTCTCTTATTTTATTTAGCTCTTCCGATTTTCTTCTTTCAACCTCAAGCCCAAACCATGACTCGGAGAACGTTGATACGATGTGCCCGCAAAGGAAATACAACAAGAGGGATACTACGAAAAAGCTAACTTTCGAGCTAGACCCCAGGCTAAACATTTTCTGCGTCACAGAGCCACTCAACAAGAGGTTAAGTTAGACATGGTTGAACCGCTAGTAATTCTGCAAGTGCTTACTTACTTCAAGTTAACATGATCATGTACTTGCTGAGTGCTCTCTTGAGTATTGTGACTCCCTTTTGCCTGTCCCAGAGAGCATACGCAGAGTATATGTATATTTGTTGGCTGGAGGTATGCCTAGCTATTGCTAAGTATACGCGGCTTGATATTTAAAATGCGTTACTGTAGTACGCATCATCAATCGGGAAAAAAGTGGAAAGTGAAAAGTCAATCTTTGGTATATCTACATCCGCTAGTACACACGCTTTTTAAGCTCCTGGATGATGGTGATATCTCTTGTGATGATGCATATAGCTTTGACCAGGAAAGCTAACGAGGGTAAGAGTGGCGGAGATAGAATAACTCGCTGGTTATATATCGGATAATCCACGCGCCTGTCATCAGTTCATTCGTCTTCTTCCGGACAGTATACGCAGAGTATGCGTATACATATATTGATATCGGCTAGTCCGGACGGTTTTTTAAAACTCCTGGTGGTGTATATAATTTTAACCAGGAGGGGTAACAACACTTTGCTGATAAAAACTCCCTGGTAGTATAGTTAGTAGTCTGGTCCGCACGAGGGGGAGGGGTCGCAGGAGAGCCTCATTTTTTCAAACCTCTCAAGGCTATCCTGTGACCTGCGACCCCCTTCGTGCGGACGAGACTTCCCTTGAGTGAACGATTTTTCTGAATTCCAACATTTGCTGCCCAACCACATCAACTATCAACTACTATTAACTCCCTGGTAGTTTATGGAATACGGAATATGGGCTACACGGCCCAGTAAGCTTCAGCCGAAAGTGGTCCTGCAAGGGAAACAGCCGTTCTCTACGCCAACACAGGCAGCGGGCTCGACTCCCGTATATCGGTTAGTACACGCACATATATGCATCCGGTAGACGCGCGAAAGCTGGGGTCGACTCCCAACCTAGTCTGCCCTAGGCAGACTCGTTACACACTGACGATCCCTACGGATGCGTCTGTATAGAACAGCTGGAATTAAAGTTTTGCTGTGGTGAGCTAAAAAGATTTGCAAAGATTTGCTGTGGCAGGCTAAGCGTGAGGCTAAGTTAAAGTTTTGCTGCGTGTGGGTATTTTTTCCCACTTAAACAGCATAGATCTGCGGATTCAGCTCTGATATTACTATAAAAGTTTTAGGTCAAGGGAGATGTCTCCTCCCGAGACTGTTGTGTGAATTATTCTCCTTCGACAACGCGAGTGACCTCGGCTAATTGTGAGGCCGTACACGAAGAATGAATCGCTGGAAAAGTACTGGAAAGATGCGAAGAGATACTACAGGCATCAAGATTAACTTGACCCACTTTGTCGTTAGCGTGGTGTGTGACTCTCCCTCGACGAAACTTCAAAACGAATGGCGGAAGCGGACAAGGATCTTTCCAACCTTGACTCAGCTGAGCGATAGTTACATGCGTTGACTCGAAGTAGTTCAGGTCTTCCGATGCTTTCCAGAATATAAGGAATCTGTGGTAGAGTCACGGATAGTTTCCGATTGTGATCTACTAAGCAGCAGAATTTTGGCGAGACTGTGATAAAGTTCACATCAGCCCGACCCCTTTCAATCTTGATACAAACAGTAGAGCCTGAAAGCAGTCTCCCTTTCTCCTGCATTATTAGGGTCAACTCTTTGGGAGAGTGTTGAAATACCTGGGGCCTGCCAGGCGACTCGTCCGCCTGCACCGGAACAGGCAATTGGCCCAACCTTTCGCTTTCACTGAACAAAGTTCTATCGGACCTGAAAGTTGCATTATCAGGGGTCTTGTTCCATTATTGGATAGTATTCATTGTCCACAATATTGAGGATTGAGGTCGAATGAGGTCGCGAGTCTACGAGCCTGGTGCCTCAAAATGTCGCTTATTCACCCTTCGATTATTAGCCTAGAATTCCGTTCGGCACGCACTTCATACGGGCCCATTGTCTCAATGAACGCAAAATATCTCACAATATAGAGTTTCTGTCTGAGCATCGACAACAGTGTTTACTGTTGCCGAGCGTAGTATAAAAGGCTTTGGCATTAGGAGCAGTACTTACAGTCTAAGCTACTTAGCTCTCATTGAACACCAAGCCTAGCCACCTCACAAGCTATCCGACATGCGATTCTTCCCTTCATTAACATTGGCAGGACTTGCGTCGCTCGCCACTACTTCTGTCTTGGCTCAGGCTCCGTTTTTCGGTGCTCCTCAGAGCTTGGCTCAAGTTACCGTCGGAGAGGATGTACTAGTGTCCGTTTTCCAAGATGTAAGCTCTCTTTCCCAGCATAGTCTTTCTGGTAGTATCCACAGCTGACCAATGTTTACAGGCCTCCAACAGCCAGTTCGAGGACGTGGCCATCGCGCTTGGGATTTCCCAGTGCTTCACCGGCGCCGATTCCTGCTCTGGACCTGGGGGAGGACTAGTAGATGTCTTCTACACTGGCCCTTTCAACGCTACTTTTGTCGGCACCAATCGTTTCCAAAATTTCACAGTCACTATTCCCTCATTTTATGAACCGGGCCAATTTGCTCAGGTGACCGCTGCATTGTTCACTCTGGTCGGAGTGAGTATACAGACTAGAATCAAGTGTTGAATTATAGAACTTAACTATTTGGTCGTCTAGGCAGAGGCAACCCCTAATCTCGATACAATCGCCATTGTCCTTCAAGTTATTTGAGTGTTATCTCTTCTTGGGTTTTGGAGTCGAGAAATTCTCTAGTATTAGTCCCAAAGGTTGTGCTAATCACGCTGTGATACTGTAAAGTCTCTTGATTCTCAATGTACTATCTTCGATGCGTATGCAAAAATAAAGCGTTTA